CCTGAGTTTGATCTCTGGTACCACCAAAAAAAAAAAAAGGAGGAGGGAGAGATGGCTCAGTAGAATAAGCACTTGCCTGGCAAGCGCAAGGGCCTGAGTTCAATTCCCGGTTCCGGCAAATAAAAAAAAGGAAAAGCAGCAGCTACCCTGGTGAAGAGGATGGGATTGTTTGGGTGGGGGTAGTGCACATTCAAACAATTAGAGAATCTCTTACTGGGAAAGTGACATTTAAGCAAACACCTGAGAAGCAGAAAGCCCCAAAGACATCTGCAGTGAGTCTTTTGGCAGAGTGGTCACTGCAAAACCACACCAACTCTGACTCATGGCAGTCCAGCTGGCCACAGCACAGCCTCCTCCAGACAGAAAGCCCCCAAGTGCCAGCCAGACACCTCAGCACCCCAAAATGCCTCTTCTGGAGTCACTAACAAAGTCATCCTCTGGAGATCTCAAACCATGAGAGGAAAGCATAAGATACAGAGCCATCTATAGGGCTCAAGTCCTGCCTGATACCAGCCTACCCACAGGCTCAAAGTCCACGAGATCATGTAGCACTCCAGACTTCCTGGTGCTGGTCACCAGACCACTGTCATTCTTATGGGTGTGAAGAAACAGGGACCTCTGTATTGGCAGCCTCACACATTTGGAGAATTCTGCAGTTTCCTTCCCACCAGCACCACTTAGCCAAATACTCCTCAGGATACCCCACCCCCAGCAGGGTTATAGTCAGTCACAAGGGCAGTATGGTGCTACTACTTTCTCTTAAGGCAGTCTCCCACTTGCTGTCATGGGTATGTTTTAATGAATGATTTAGCTTCTTCAGCAAAAGGAAATGATAACTGCAATACCACCTTTTAAAACATTTATGAGCATTAATTGTAAAATGAAAAGTCTGAGAAAAAGGCCTTCATTTTGAGTAAAGTATAAATGCTTATTTGAACTACACCTGTTGTTCTAAAAAGCAAATTTTGCAACTTGAGTCCATACTCATAAGTGAAATAAATCAGTCTCTCGTGTGTAAACATTGTATTGTCTCCTAGTGTAAGAAGCTAAATAAGATTCAAAATGTACAACAGATACTGTGAAATAGGAAGAAAGTGCTCAAAAAGAAAGAGAATCCAGAATGGGGAAAAGGAAAAAAGGAGGAAGGGAAAAGGAAAAATAAATACATTCATATACATACACACAAGATAGTTAAGATAGTAATTAATTTCTATTAGCTTATTGAAAGGAAAGGTTTATGCCTATATTGTTTGATCAATTTTTCTTTTTTTATGAATTTAGGACAGAGTGTACAGGGTCTCACTAAGTAGATCAGACTCATAGTGATCCTCCTGTTTTCAGTCTCCAAAGCACTGGGATTACAGGTATGGGCCACCATGCCCAGTCTCAATCACCTTCTTGGGGGCGCGACCGGCATGGCACGCTGGGGATCAAACCCTGGCCACTGCACTCTGCCGCATTTGATCAATTTTTCATGCCTATATCTTTTAATAAGAGTAACTTGTACTTCTACTGATCCTTTAAAAATTTTTTTTCTTTAATTTTTAAAAATGTTTATTCCTTAGGGCTGGCCAGATAGCTCAGTGAACTAAAGTGCCTTCTTAGGCAGAGCGCAGAGGCTGGGGTTCAAACCCCAGTGTGCTGTGCAGGTCCCACCCCTGGGGCTTGCTGAGACAGAGACTGAGACTGAGCTTGGTGGTGTGCACCTGTAATCCCAGTGGCTTTGGAGGCTGAAAACAGGAGAATCATTACTACTAGTCCAATCTACATGGTAACACACTGTAGGCCCTATAGACCCTGTACCAAATACATTTAAAAAAAAAAAAAGGTATTACTTTTTGATAAAGGGTATTACTACATGACTCGTAGTAGTATGTATTACTACATTACTACATGACTCGTAGTGATCCTCCTGTCTCAGCCTCCCCAGTGCAATTTTTTTTTGAAAATAAAAATACACAACATACTATAACCATTGTTACTCTCCTATTATCTTGTTTTAAAATTTTATACCATTGTTTTTATTGGTTTTTTCTTAAAAAAAAAAAAAAAGCGAATTTTGTAGCATTTTTAAGCAAGGACAAAACTATATACACAGCTAGGATTCATCAAACTCTGAAAGGCATGCACACTGCCCAGCAGCCTACAGAAAGGGAGAGTCCTGTGAGGCTTCAAACACCCTCTCTGCTATAGTTGTGCAAAGACCACAACTGGAGAACTCAAGTGATTCAACTCTTTCCCTGCTGAGAATCATTTTCTCCTGGCACAGCTCAATTTGCTGCCCACTTGGTGGCCCAAGACTGTGGTAATAAATCCTTTTGGATACACAAGTTTCCAACATTCAAATCTCTGGAAAACTGTAAAGTTAACAAAAGCACAAAATGAGCTCATCTACCATCCCTATCTTCATTAGAGTTCTCTGTGACTGGTCACAATGGCACATGCCTATAATATCAATACTTAAGAGACTAAAGCAGGATTGTGAGCTTGAAGCTAACCTGAACTACATAGTGAGACCCCATCTCAAACAACTAAAAATTGCCTGGTATAGTAGTGCATACCTATAATCCCAGCACTTAGAGGAGTCTGAAGACAAGTAGGTTACCATGAGTCTGTGGACAGCCTAAACTCTGAACTACGTAGCAAGACCCTGTTCTCAAAAAAAAAAAAAAAATCACCCCGAACATGGTCTTTTGTCCATCCTCAGGTGGCATGTTACGGTGACAACCATAGACACACACATTATAATCTGTCTGGCTTTTCCTATATACATGTACACATATCCCAAATCCAAGCTATTCATGCCCCAGTTAAAACTGGAAGCTTCAGTCTGCCTCACTGGCAACCTCACACCAGTGGCCATCCCTGGCTCCCACTGCCATGGCTTGCCCAGGCCAGTGTGATTTCTTGCCCCAGGAACCTCCCACTTACCATGCTCCAATATTTAACCTTCCATACTCACTCCCTAGTTCCTACAGTTCCTCAGCAAGGAACCCTTCTGTCCTCTCTTCTAGGTCCAGGATGGCTACCAGGGCAAGCTTCTACAACTGCTGTAAACTATTCCTGAAAAATGTGAGACAGGGCCAGCAAGACAGCTCTGCAGACTAAGCACCTGCTTTAGCAAGCACAGGGACCAGGGTTCAATCCCCAGTCCCACATGCCACGCTGGCCCTGCCCTTGGGGCATGCCAAGCCTGCAACTGAGTCCGGTTATAGTGGCGCACATCTGTAATCCCAGTGCGGGGGAGGATGAAAACAGAAGGATCACTATGAGTCTAAGCTGTGTAGTAAGACCCTGTACCAAATACAGAAATGAAAAAGAAAAAATAAATAAATATCCAATGACTCACATTCAAAACTGATAAACGTAACAAATACTTGATTAACAAATAGGTTAAGAATGGAAATAGGTTTCCAGGGCAAAGAAAACCAAATGGCTCATGAATCCCTTCTCCAACTTCCTTCAGGTCTCACATACCAGACACATCCAGTCTTCCAAAGCTATAGACAGCAACTTCACTAACTCTTAGGAGACTAATTGCCAGGTACATAGAGCATATTCTTAAAAATACAGAGGTCAGAACCAGTCATGGTAGCACATGCCTGTAATTCCAGCACTCAGGAACCTGAGATGAGTATCTGTCCACTTTTGAGGCCAAAATGGGCTGCAGAGTAAGTTCAAGTCCAGCCAGAACTACAAAGTAAGACCCTATCTCAAAACTCAAAACATGGGGCCGGGGAGATGGCTCAATGGAATAAACTCTTCTCTGGCAAGCGCAAGGGCCTGAGTTCAATCCCCAGATCCGCAAAAAAAAAAAAAAAAAAAAAAAAGATAAACAGCTTATATTTTAAAGTACATCTTAAAGTCCCTGATTACCTACTGGCAAGTCAATCATCAATCTTTCATGAAGCTGATGAGATAGGATGCACCCAGGTTTCAGGGGAGCCACAGCCTACACAGCCTGGAGGTCTAGCCTGGTTCAGAGATGAGATCAGCTAGAGGTACTTTCTTTTTTTATGGCAGAACCGGGGATTGAACTCAGGTCCTTGAGCTTGCCAGGGAAGCACTTATTCCACTGGGCCACCTCCCCAGCCGCAAGAGGTACTTTCTTGTACAAGATAATTCACAGAGATTCTGTCTAGGAGAAGAATCATTGGTAGTTTCTTTCCCTTCTACTCTGAAATATAATTTAAAGCACTTTTACAGTGACAAATGATTCATCTATTCACCCTCTAATAAATATTCACAACATACCTGCCTGAGGCCTGGGACTAAAGGGAAAAGAAAAGGCCCATAGATGTTACCAGGCAGAACAGGGGGTTGAATTTGAAAGAAGAGAGAGTAGATGGTACTTCACAGACCTCTGTACCTTTGTCTCTTTAAAAAGGACAAAATGCAAATCAAACAAGCAGTGCATATAAAAATGAAAGCTAAAGATACACGGGCTGGTGGCAAGAAGACTTTTTCTTTTCCAAATGCTATTAACCTATCTGTGAGTAAAACTATGTTAAATATCTAATGCATAAAGAGGACCAACTCTTGTACAGCAATTAACCACTAGGAAGAAAGTATGCAATGTGTTAATTATTGAAACTGTCCTACCAATTTGATTTGAAACTGTCTCATTGCTATTTCTCAATAACATTATGAAAAAAAAAATAAAAAAGAGACAAGAATAAAAATTTAAGGTTTCTTGAAAGCAAGGAATAGTATGTAACAATATGTCCAATTTTACATAACTGTATCTGTTAATCTGGGCACAGATTTGATGATAAAACTAGATAATATGTCAACCATTGTTAATCAGCTATTCTTGGTTTGAAAATCTGTAACATATGTAATATGGTATGTTACCCTGTTTCTGTCTCTGTTTCTGACTTTTTTCTTGCTTTTGTTTTTACTTTTCAAAATTAAATTAAATAAAAACATAATAAAAAAATAAAGAGGCACAACTTTGAGAATAAAAATCAGGTAGGAAGGCTGAGCTCCCTAATACATACCAAGGGAATCAAGAGCAAAATTAAGGTCTTCTATGGTCAGGATGCCGTGTAACTGCTTTAACATATCAGCCTGCAAGAGAAAAGGAACCCAGAATCAAAATGCCAAAATGCCTTTAAATGCCAGTATGTCCTCTGGAGCCCTGGAGTTTGAAAATGTACTGCAACAGGTGCAGACAAAGGTCCTGCAGGTGCACGTACGCATATGCACACTCATATGCATACACACACACACAAGGGGGAACTTCTCTCTCTAAGCCCTTAGCTGAGGAGCTCTAAGCCATAGCTCAATGGTATATCATTTGCCTCGCACTAGATTCAATCCTTAGCATGAAAAGGAGTAGTAAAAAGGTTGTCTATCACAAATCCCACCCGCTCACCCTCAAAGGAATATGCTCTCAAATAGGTTGTGCTCACTAGCAAAGAACATTATGGAAAGAAGCTCCTCTCATCCCAGGAAGTTCCACAAAGCCAGGGCCCCGTACAAATACCAGGAGGAGGTACGGATACTACCTTCTCTTATCTCACCTCAAAGGACAATTACAGTGGAGTAGCAAGCTAGAGAACCTGAGACCAACTCTAGGTTTGCAACTTTCCCCTGGGTAAGCTACTCTCTCTGCCATAACTGAACCTTCTATAAAATGAAGTCAATGGCGTGGACCCGCTCCAAGAGGGGTGTAGGGTGCCACACTTGACAGAACAAGTATTTTGTGGAATCCAGTGTATGCTCATGAGGCACACCAGATGGCAGAAGGCGTACTCCTGATCTTGATGTGTTCATCACGGACCATGGGCCTCTGGGAAGGTGCCTCACAGGTAGTTATCAATGCACTTAGTGCAACGCAACATGTAGCAAAAAAGTGTGTTCCAACCAGCATGGAACCGTATCAACGGGTAAAGACTTTGCTAAGATGGTTTCTACTGTTCTATAAAGGGAGGGTGAATTGAGTGACTGCCAAGATCCCACTCACCTCCAGTGCAGCCACTCAAACAGAGTCAAGGTAAGTACCACAAAATAAAATTAAAAACAAAGCTGAGTGCAGTGGCTCACACCTATAATTTCAGTATTTTGTGAGACTGAGGCAGGAGGACTGACATCTGAGCCCACCCTGGGCAACTTAGTGACTTAGGGAGACCTACCTCAATGTTTTTAAAAACAGCTCAGTGTGAAAGCCCCAGATTCAATTTCTAGTACATCAATCAATAAATCAATAAATAAGGGCTAGGGATATAGTTTCAGAACAAGGGTCCTGGCTACAATTCCCAGTACCACCCAAAACAAAACAAAAGGTAGTGACTGCCAGCTGCCTGAGGTTTTCTAAGGCTCAAAAGATGGACACTCTGAGGAACACCAGGAAAAGGAAAATACCAAGTCTCAGGGTGTTCAAGGTCTCACTACTAGATCGGACTCGCAGTGATCTGCCTGTTTATAGCCTCCCAAGAGCTGGGATTACAGGCGCATGTCACCACACCCAGTCTTAACTGCAGGTTTAGCACGCCCTGGGGGAAGGGCTGGCATGGCAGGACAGGGGATCGAACTCCCGGCTCCTGTGCCTGCTTGCAGGTGCTTTAATCCACTGAGTTATTTGGCCAGCCCTACATATAAAAATTTGTATTATTAAAATATCCACTGGGCTGGTGAGATGGCTCAGTGGTCTAAAGCACCTACTTAGAAGAAGCTTAGCAAAGCACAGGGACCACGGTTCAATCCCCCAGCACCACATGCCAGCCAGCCCCGCCCCCTGGTGGGCTGAGCTGCCCCACACACACAAATAAAAATTTTAAAAAAATTAAAAAAAAAAAATATCCACTAAAGCTGGTACAGCTGTAGACAGGTGTAGACCCAGCTACTTTCGGAACTAAGGCTGGTGGAACACTTAAACACAGGAATGTGAGACCAGCCCGGATAACATGGAAAAACCCAATTGCTTAAAAAAGTAAAAAATCATTTAGCAATTACTCCTGAGCTGAGCATGGTAGCCCAGCCTTTGTTTTTGCTTTAATGTTTTTCTGTTTTTGAGACAAGGTCTTTCTTATATGTAGCTCAATCTGGCCTCAAACTCACTATGTAGACCAGAATGGCCTCCAACACCTGGGAGGATCCTCTTCCCTCACACTCCCGAAGTGCTGGAATTAATAAAAGCTTATACTACCACAGTGGGATGCTGAGGCAGGAGGATTCCATTTGAGCCTAGCCTGAGCAACTCAGTAACTTAGAGAGACCTTGTCTCAAAACTTTAAAAAAAAAAACAAAAATTCTTTTAAAGAACTGAGATGTAATTCAGTGTGAAGGTTTGTGTTCAACCCCCAGGATAACAAGAAGTGGGGGGCGGGGGGCCTGGGGGCACGGATTGCAGGTTAGCTCAGTTGTTTAACCCCCTGCTGGGGCAAACCCAGTGAGACCCAGGGGACTGAGGTTCAATCCCCAGCTCCCCATGCCTTACCAGACCCGTCCTTAAGGCAGCCTGAGCCAGCAAAAAACAAAAACAACAAAAAAAACTTCACAAGGGAAGGTAGGGGAAAAAAAGGAAAGGAATGGGAAGACAAGAGAAGAGATGAGATTCCTGGGCTGGGGTAGCTCAGAGCAGTAGTGCCCAAGCTCATCAAGCATAAGGTTCTGGATTCAATCCCTACCACCAAAGGGAGAAAAATTACTCCTAACAACTGGGAATTTATATAAATGTTCAAGGTCAGGAAAATGGATTACCCACAGAAAAAGAGTATTAGGCAGATACTATGAGGGAAGTTTTAAAGAAATGCTCATATAAACAAGGCATGGTGGCACACATCTATAATCCCAGCTCTCTGAGACTGAGGCAGGAAAGCAAGTTCTGCCTTAAAATAAAACATTTGTAAAAGGGCTACAGATATGGTTCATCCCCAGTACAGCCAAAAAACAAAAACTGGTAAAATATTTAATGAAAACAAACAACAACAAAAACAATTCTAATGTACAACAGAGATCCTAATTAATTTTTTAAAAAGGAAATAATATAAGTGAGTTACCAGGAATGACCTCTGAGGCCAAAAAGGACAGACCTGCTAGGCATCCTGTCATTTTTAAACTTGACAGTTGTAAAGGACAAAGGGTAGCCTGAGTAGGAGGAACACAGGACAGGATGCAGCAAGATCATGAGGGGCAAGTGTATAAGGTACCTCAGATAAACCTCACTAATGACTTACCTGCAGGAGCCACTAAGTGGACACTGATGAGACCATGTGAAAACAATAACCTTTGAACACCCAGATTCATTAATTCACTCATTCACTCCAAAAGTGAAATAAGTTAAAGAGATTTAATAAAGACCTAGTCAATGAACTAGATCGTCGGGATGCAGACGCACATGCTGGGGTAGAAATCAATAACTACTAGTAGGGATTGTATCAGCAACAGCAACTTTTCAGGCTGGCCAAATAGCTCAGTGGATTAAGCGCCTGCTTAGGCAGAAGCAGGGGCCAGGAGTTCAATCCCCTGGCCTGCCGTGCCCCTGGGGTGTGCTGAGATGGCAATTGAAACTGGGCATGATGGCACACACCTGTAATCCCAGCATTTGAGAGGCTATAAACAGGAGGATCACTATGAGTCTGATCTACAAAGTGAGACTCTGTACACCCTGTCCTAAATAAAAAAAAAGAAACAGAAGCTTTTCAGAGTAACTCATCCAGTTCATAATCTTAAAATTTCATTTCACAGTCAAAATACCTCTGGAAAAAATTTAGAATATGTACCTAAGAGATTTACTCAGACTTGGGATGCAGTTCAGTGGTAGGATCCTTGCCTATCATGCATGAGGCCCCAGATTTTATCCCTAGTACCAAAAAGGAAATAAAGATTAAAACTTTACTCAGTGAAGTCTATTCTAGGTCAGAAAATACTATCAAGAGGCTGGGGCGGGGGAGATGGCTCAGTAGAATAAGTGCTTCCCTGGCAAACGCAAGGGCCTGAGTTCAATCCCCAGTTCCATTAAA